CCACTCACTCACCCACTCACTCACCCACTCACCCACTCACTCACCCACCCACTCACTCACCCACCCACCCAACCACTCACTCACCCACCCACTCACTCACCCACTCACCCATCCACTCACCCACCCACTCACCCACCCACTCACCCACTCACTCACTCACCCACTCACCCACTCAGCCACCCACTCACTCACCCACTCACCCACACACTCACTCACCCACCCACTCACTCACTCACTCACCCATCCACCCACTCACTCACCCACTCACCCACTCACTCACCCACCCACTCACTCACCCACCCACCCAACCACTCACTCACCCACCCACTCACTCACCCACTCACCCATCCACTCACCCACCCACTCACCCACCCACTCACCCACTCACTCACTCACCCACTCACCCACTCAGCCACCCACTTACTCACCCACTCGCCCACTCACTCACCCACTCACTCACCCACTCACCCACTCACCCACCCACTCACTCACCCACTCACTCACTCACCCATCCACCCACTCACTCACCCACTCACCCACCCACTCACTCACCCATCCACCCACTCACTCACCCACTCACTCACCCACTCACCCACTCACTCACCCACCCACTCACTCACCCACCCACCCAACCACTCACTCACCCACCCACTCACTCACCCACTCACCCATCCACTCACCCACCCACTCACCCACCCACTCACCCACTCACTCACTCACCCACTCACCCACTCACCCACCCACTCACTCACCCACCCACCCACTCACTCACCCACTCACCCACCCACTCACTCACCCATCCACCCACTCACTCACCCACTCACCCACACACTCACTCACCCACCCACTCACTCACCCATCCACCCACTCACTCACCCACTCACCCACCCACTCACTCACCCATCCACCCACTCACTCACCCACTCACCCACTCACTCACCCACCCACTCACTCACCCACCCACCCAACCACTCACTCACCCACCCACTCACTCACCCACTCACCCATCCACTCACCCACCCACTCACCCACCCACTCACCCACTCACTCACTCACCCACTCACCCACTCAGCCACCCACTCACCCATCCACTCACCCATCCACTCACCCACCCACTCACCCACTCACTCACTCACCCACTCACCCACTCAGCCACCCACTCACTCACCCACTCGCCCACTCACTCACCCACTCACTCACCCACTCACCCACTCACCCACCCACTCACTCACCCACTCACTCACTCACCCATCCACCCACTCACTCACCCACTCACCCACCCACTCACCCACCCACCCACTCACACACCCACTCACTCACCCACTCACCCACTCACTCACCCACCCACACACTCACCCACCCACCCAACCACCCACTCACCCACCCACTCACTCACCCACTCACCCATCCACTCACCCACCCACTCACCCACCCACTCACCCACTCACTCACTCACCCACTCAGCCACCCACTCACTCACCCACTCACCCACTCACTCACCCACTCACTCACCCACTCACTCACTCACCCACTCACTCACCCACTCACCCACTCACCCACCCACTCACTCACCCACTCACTCACTCACCCATCCACCCACTCACTCACCCACTCACCCGCCCACTCACTCACCCACTCACTCACTCACCCATCCACCCACTCACTCACCCACTCACCCACCCACTCACTCACCCATCCACCCACTCACTCACCCACTCACCCACTCACTCACCCACTCACTCACCCACTCACTCACCCACTCACCCACCCACCCACTCACACAACCACTCACTCACCTACACAACAACTCACTCACCCACTCACCCACTCACTCACACAACCACTCACTCACCCACTCACCCACTAACCCACCCACCCACTCACTCACCCACTCACCCACAAAACCACTCACTCACCCACTCACTCACCCACTCACTCACTCTCCCACACACCCACTCACTCACCCACTCACTCTCTCTACCACCTACTCACCCACCCACTCAGTCACCCACTCACCGACCCACTCACCTACTCACTCACTCTCCTACACCCACTCACACACCCACTCACCCACACACCCACTCACCCACCCACTGACCAACTCACTCACTCTCCCACACAACCACTCACCCAACCACTCACTCACTCACCCACTCACTCACCCACCCACTCACTCTCTCACACAACCACTCACTCACTCACTCACGCGCTCACCCACTCACTCTCCCACACAATCACTCACTCACGCACTCACCCACTCACTCACCCACTCACTCACCCACTCACTCACCCATCCACCCACTCACTCACCCACTCACCCACCCACTCACTCACCCATCCACCCACTCACTCACCCACTCACTCACCCACTCACTCACCCATCCACCCACTCACTCACCCACTCACCCACCCACTCACCCACTCACCCACCCACTCACTCACCCATCCACCCACTCACTCACCCACTCACCCACCCACTCACTCACCCATCCACCCACTC